TCAGAAGATTCTGGATGGGGATCAGGAGTCTATGTATGGTTTTTTGAGTTGCAACTACTTTAATAAACTTCCACTTACCATTTAATTTTATTTATGTTTCTACGTTTCTGAGTATGATATCCAGATTTCTCACTTTGGCTCATTTTTAAATTAAAAGTTTTAGGTGGAATTATGCCGAAAAACGCAATTTTTCTGGTAAACTTTTCTGTCAAAGTAGTGGAATTTCACTTTGGGATGCAAAAACATTTTAAAAAAAAATGTAGTTACAGCAAGAATATTTTTATGGCTAACAATGAAATCACTACTCATCTGTCAGTGTTTTGTGCTGTGTTGGCATACATACTGCTGTTATGTTGGAAGCTATGCTACTGTTGTTTTAAATATCAGCAGGGTCACACATAGTGATCAAGGTTCAAAGGAGCTTCTTACAAATGACAGAGTAGGAAGAAGGAATGATGGACTACTTCTGAGTGGTTAATCACTGATGACATCAAAAAGAACTTTTCAAGATATTTCTTGAAATACAATGCTGTCTGTGATAGGATAATATCTATACACCTACAAAGAAGACCAGCTAGTATCATTATTACTCATATTTACTCACCAACCACCAAAGCCAGTAATGGTGACATGCAATCACGATGCATTGATAATTACTGGTGATTGGAATGTGAAAGTTGGAAACAAAGAGGAAGGATCAATAGTTGGAAAACATGGCCTTGGTGATAGAAATGATGCTGGGTATCACATAATAGAATTTTCTAATACCAATGATTTATTTATTCATGAAAACCCCCTTTTTTAAACAACATAAAAGATGAATATTCACAGGAATTTCACCAGATAGAATACAGATGAGTCATTTTACTACATCTGTGGGAAGAGACAGTGAAGAAGCTCAATATCATGAGCCCAAACAAGTCCAGACTGTGAAACATACTATTAATTACTCATATACAAGTTCATGGTGAAGCTGAAAAAATTTTTTAAAAGTCCCTGAGAGTCAATATATGAACTTGAACATATTGCACCTGAATTCAGAAAGCATCTGTAGAACAGATTTGATTAATTAGACACTAAAGACTAAAGCAAAGAAGAATTGTGTAAGGACATCAAGAACTTCATAAAGGAAGAAAGCGAAAGGTCCTTAAGAAGACAAGAAAGAGGAAAAGACCAGAATGGATTCAGAAGAGGCTTTTCCTGAAACTTGTGTTCCAAAATGAAATGATTGATGTTCAACCATTTCATGAGGTAGCATGTGATCAAGAAACTGATGTTACTGAAGTAAAAAGTCCAAACTGCACTGAAGTGATTGGCAAAAAACAAAGCTCCAGGAATTGAAAGAACACAAACTGAAATGTTTCAGCAAACTGATGCATTGCTGGAGGTGCTCACTCAGCTATGCCAAGAAATTTGAAAGCTATTTCCCTAGCCAACTGATTGGAAGAGATTCATATCTGTGCCCATTCTAAAGAATAGTGACCCAACAGAAATGTCTAAGTTATCAAGCAATATCATTAATATCACATGAAGTAAAATTTTGTTGAAGATAATTCAAAACCAATAGCAGTAGTACATCACCAGGGAGCTGCCGGAAATTCAAGCTGTATTCATAAGAGGACTTGGAACATGGGTTATCACTACTGATGTCAGATAGATCTTGGCTGAAAGAGAATATGAGAAAGATGTTTACTTATGCTTTATTCACTACATAAAAATTTTCAACTACATAAAAATTTTCAACTGTGTGAATCATGACTAGCTATGAATAACATTGCAAAAATTCAGTTTTCCAGAATAAAAATTCAGTTTTACAGAACAAAAATTCGGTTTTCCAGAAGTTGTACATAGACCAATAGGCAGTCATATGAACTATATAAGGGTATATTGAATGATTTAAAACCAGGAAAGGTGTGCACCAGGGTTGTAGCCTTTCACTATACTTATTCTATGTGTATGCTGAACAAATAATTTGATAAATTGGACTATATGAAGAAGAACGTGGCATTAGGATTGGAGGAAGACTCATTAACAACCTATGATATGCAGATAATGTACCCTTGCTTGCTGAAGGCAAAGAGAACTTAAAATGATTACTGATGAAGATTGAAGACTACAGTAGGGATTGCATCTAATATGAAGGAAACAAAAATCATCACAACTGGACCAATGAATAACAGCAAGATAGATAGAAAAAAATATTAAAGGTGTCAAAAACTTCATTTGGCTTGGATCCACAATCAACACTTATAGAAACAGCATTAAAGGAATTTAGTGGCATATTACATTAGGCAAATCTTCTGCACAAAAGTTCTTTAAAGTGTTTAAGGGCAAAGATGTCAGTTTGAGGACTAAGGTGCTTGTGACCTAAGCCATGGTATTTTCAATAACATCATATGTGTGTGAACGTTTGACAATGAATAAGGAAGGCCGTAGGAGAATTGATGCATATGAGTTGTGGTGTTGGAGAAGAATATTAAAAGTACAGTGGACTGCCAGAACAAACAACTCTGTCTTTGAAGAAGTGTGGCCAGAATGTTCTTTAAAAGCCAGGATGGGGAGACTTCATCTCTCATACTTTAAACATGTTATCATGAGGGACCAATCCCTGGAAGCAATGGCATACATCATACTTGGTAAAGTGGAGGGTCAACAACAAGAAGACCCCCTAAAAGGATGGATTGACACAGAAGCAGCAGTAATGGGCTCAAGCACAGCAACAATTGTAAATATGGTGCAGGAATGGGGACTGGTTTTTTTATGTTGTGGAACCAACTCTATGACACCAAACAACAACCATGAAATCACATACTAGATCGAGTTTTATTTATAAATTATAATATTTATTGTGTTCAGTACCATTGACTTGGTTCCAACTCAAATCAGTTCAAATCAACCTTGTGGTCCAGTTCTATCCTACAGTGCCACACCAAGAATTTATTTTTAACGTAGACCCAGGCAATTGTACTAGATCTTGATTGTAAATATCTTAGGAACAATAAATATGAGTTTTCTTCTATCTATTTTTTTAACTTTTTATTGTGAATTTAGTGAGGGTTTACAGACAAGATCATCAATTTCACATTCAACAACTCATTCACTTTGTTTCATATCAATGCTTGCAATACCCTTCATGCAACAACAGTTTTCCCACTTTCTCCCTCTGCTGCCTATTTCTGTTCTACCTCCAATGCATCCCTTCTCAACTTGGTCCTTAGGTAAGTGTTGTCCTTTTGATCTTGATTGACTGGCCATTCCATGGTGAGCATAGTATATTACTGTTCATCCCCTTATATACCTATCTACTGCTTGGCTGAAAATTGGGACATGAGGGTGCATCCCTTTCCTGAGCTGTAGGGTGGTCGGAGGCCACAGTCTCAGGTTCCTCCAGTCTCTCTGACCAGTAAGCCTGGTCTCTTATTTATAATTTTGAGTTTTGTTTCACATTTTCTTCCACTTTATCCAGGACCTTATAATGTGATCCCTTTCAGAGTAATTGGAAGTAGTAGCTGGACTTCATCTAGTTCTTCTGGTGTAAGAGTCATGGTGATGTTCATGTGCTCCATTGGTCCTTTGGACTAGTTGATTCCAAGCATCTTCAATTTTCATCACTCTTTTTACTTCTGCACATGGAGAGACCAATAGTTGCACTGTAGAAGGCTGTTCATGAGCTTTTAAGATCTCATACACTACTCACCAAAATAGGATTTGATCCTTTCTTTATCCTACATTGTTTTTTGTTTTTGTTAAGTGAACTTACATTACAAGAACAATATTTAAAAGTGCTATAATATTTTTAAATTGTAGCAGGAAATGTTAGTCTATTTTATATCATGGAATATTAATGTTAGTGTGTCACTGCAGGATATTGCACTGTGCTGCAAAGTAGATTTGAATTGTAAGGTCACCTGTTCAAGCTCCTTGGAAACCCTATACAGGGTTGCTGTAAGTCGGAACTGATTCGATGGCACTTAAAACAACAACAATATTAATACTGCAGGATAATGCACTAGATTGCAAGGTCAGTTTGAACTGCAAGGCTGACAGTTCAAACCCATCAGCCACTCCTCAGAAGCCCTATACAGAGTCACTATGGGTCAGAATCGACTCAATGGTACTTATAACAACAACAACAATATCAATACTAACCACACTCAGGTTTATGTGTGCACAATGGCTGTTAGAGTACTGAAGGGTGTTGAAAAATAATGTTCATGAATAAGACTTGATTATATTTTGCATTTATAAATAATTTTATTTTATTACATGTGTAATTTCTTCTGAAAATAATAGATTTTATCAATTTCTGACTTTGACAGGTAATACTTTGGTTATAAATGTCCAACTTATGTGTAACCCATAGAAATGAACCAACCCCCGTAAAGCCTATTATATTAAAAATTTATACATAAATTTTTTTTGGAGTCATGGTGTGGAACTGTAGGATAAGCACTGGACCACATGCTTGGTGGTTCAAACTCACCAACCTCTCCTTGGACATCCTATACAGGTTTACTATGAGTCAGCCGCAGCAATTTGATGGAACTTAACAACAAACAATTGTTTATAATCAACAGATTCAACTTTGTGATACACATTGGAACATTATTATTATTAATGCTTTATTATTATGTAAAAGATTTTTAGTGTATCTGCAAATGTTTCTTTGACTTTTTTATGCTTAAAAAGATACATTAGAGTCTATAAACTAAGACAAATATTGGACTAACTGAGATTATATACAAATCATGCCTAACTGTTCCAACTTTTACAAATTGAATTTAAAGACTGATTTAGGAATAAAACTAGTTCATAATATGAGAAATGTCTGTATTGTAGAAATGTGTGACTTTCCATTTTTAAAATGTGTAATACAAAACCCCCATCATTTTCTTTAATAAGATGCTTCCAATTTTCAACTAAGAAAATTAAACTACATATGAACAAAATAGTTTTTTGTTCTTACATTGCTTCTCTTTCCTTTTTCTTTTCTTTCATAGACTACTGCCATGATAGAAATTACCATAATTGATGATGCTGAATTTGAATTCATGGAGGCATTCCATATTTCTTTAGTCAGGGTAGCTGGAGGTGGCCGACTTGGTGATGATGTTGTGAGAACTGTTGTTATCCCACAAAATGATTCTCCATATGGAATATTTGGATTTGAAGAAAAGACTGTAAGTTAAATCTATTAGAAGGTACCTTTAATAGGCTTTTTTTTTTTTTTAAGGTTTTTATTGTGGATTGAATGAAAGTCTACAGGGCACATCATCAGTTTCACATTCAACAATTCATATAACTTGCTTCATTACATTGATTATAATCCCTTCCATATACCATCAGTTAAAAGTATTTCTCTTTATCCACTTTAGCTTTTTTGAAAAAACACACAAACAAAAAAACCCACTCAGGCATATATAATAAATTACATCTCCAAAGGGCACA